TTTTAATTCCTTTTAAACTCTAAATCTCTCTTTTTTTTTTTTTTTTTTAGAGACAGAGTCTCTGTGCAGGCTGAAGTGTAGTGGTGCGATCTCAGCTCACTGCAACCTCCAGCTCCTGGGTTCAAGCGATTCTCCCACCTCAGTCTCCTGAGTAGCTGGGACCACAGGCGCACACCATGCCTAGCTAATTTTTCTGTATTTTAATAGAGACGGGGTTTCGCCATGTTGGCCAGGCTGGTCTTGAACTCCTGACCTCAGGTGATCCACCTGCCTTGGCCTCCCAAAGAGCTGGGATTACAGGTACCAGCCACTGTGCCTGGCCAATCACTTTTTTTTTTTTTTTTTTTTAAGACAGTGTCTCGCTCTGCTGCCCAGGCTGGAGTACAGTGACACAATCTCTGCTCGCTGCAGCCTCGACCTCCTGGGCTCAAGCGATTCTCCTGCCTCAGCCTCCCAAGTAGCTGAGACTACAGGTGTGTGCCACCACGCCTGGCTAATATTTTTTGTACAGATGGGGTTTCGCCATGTTGCCCGGGCTGGTGTCAAACTCCTGGGCTCAAGCAATCTACCTGCCTCACCCTTCCAAAGTGAGCCACGGTGTCCAGCCTTAAATCACTTTTTATACTTTCTGTTCCCTGCAGAGATTTTCAAACTCTTTTGAGGCAGGGTCTCACTGTCGCCCAGCTAGAGCGTGCAATGGCACGATCATGGCTCACTGCAGCCTTGACCTCCTGGGTTCAAGCAATCCTTCAGCCTCAGCCTCCTGAGTAACCGCTGGGGCTACAGGAGGACACCAGTACCCTTGGCCGTTTTTTTATGTTTTGTGGAGATGGGGTCTCCCTATGTTGCCCAGGCTGGTCTCAAACTCCTGGGCTCAAGTGATTCTGCTGCCTCAGCTTTCCAGTGCTTTCCAGGTGTGAGCCACCACGCCCAGCCTATTTCTGTTCTTTAAGCACAGTGAGGTGTGGCACCTGGCAGCCCCCACCCCTGCAGTCCGTGCAGCCCTCTGTCTACTATCTGCTGGGTCTCCAACCCACCGTGGTGTCGAGACAGGGTCTCACTGTCGCCCAGGCTGTCTCCGTGCTGCACGTTGGACTTGAAAACTAAGAACCTAAGAATCATCTTATGCCCATATTGAAGGTATTCTCCCCATGAAAGACTCTGAATTGACTCTACCCGGAGCTGGAAGGCACCACCAGACTCCAACCGGGACCACCTCACTGGAGTGAAGGCTAAGGGTCTCTGATCACCCCAGTCCTCTGAACCTAGGCTGCAACACTGTGTCAATGCCAGTCCACTTCCGGTACACCCCACCCTGAGTGTAATACTGTGGGGTCCCAGCTTCTCTCCACTGGGCCCCACTTTCCTCGGCCTGAGTCATCGGTCCTTACCTCCATCTGGCCTGGCCAACACTCTGGGGGCAACAGCAGTCTCTTGCCGCTTACCTCTGACTCCCTGCCCGTCGGTTCTGGCCTGGTGATTCCTTTCTATTTCATATTCTATTGGGTATTTTTAGTGCGATGTTTCAAGATATCTTATCCCACTTTCTGGGTGTCTTCAGTGGGCCAGATTAGTCCCAATGCCCCGTCCACCAATCCCAGTGACAAGGAACTCCACACTCTCCTTGGAGGTGAAATTCCATCTAAAAATAATCCATCAGGTTGGGTGCAGTGGCTCATGCCTGTAATCCCAGCTTTGGGAGGCCAAGGCAGGTGAATCACCTGAGACCAGGAGTTCAAGACCAGCCTGGCTAACATGGTGAAACCCCATCTCTACTAAAAATACAAAAATTAGCCAGGCATGGTGGCACGCACCTGTAATCCCAGCTACCCGTGAGGCTGAGGCAGGAGAATCGCATGAACCCAGGACGTGGAGGCTGCAGTGAGCCGAGATCGCACCACTGAACTCCAGCCTGAGTGACAGAGCGAGACTCTATCTCAAAAAAAAAAAAAAAAAAAAAATCAATCAACCTGCTGTACATCCTGGCCTCCCTGTGGCCTGGGCTCTGGACATTCCTGGAACGAGACAACACGGTCCCTACAGGAACAGCAAGCTGGCCTGCTCAGCCGACAGTGGCCCCAGAAGGCAAGCAGCAGGGAAGAGGGCCCCCAACCACACCTCCCACATTCCCACCATAGCAGCTTGCCTGTCTTAGGCCTCAGTTTCAAGACAAAAGGGGTGTCCGTGCCCCCGGCCAAAGAGGGACCGCCGGGCGGGACCAACCTTCCTCTTGAGGACGCTGAGCTTCTCCACCACGCCGTCCAGCAGGCTGACCACGGAGTCCACGGCAGGGCAGCCGCTCAGTGTCTTCTCCAGCTCGGCCACCACCATGGTGACGTGGCTCGTCTCCCGGTCAATGTTCTTCTGAGCGGCGCGAAAGCGTTTGTTCAGCGTCTCGTAGGGCACCTAGACAGGAAGGAGGATGGTGAGGAACCGCTCCCCTGGTGTGAGCCCCACCAGCCACACACCCAGGACACACCACGTCTCCTCATGGCACTTGTAGAGGCAGAAGTCTCAGGAGGTTCTTGGTCTCAAAGGATCTACTCTAAACCTCAACCAAGACCCACAAAAGCCCTGGTGAGCGGAGAGCCACTCCACATCCCTGGATGAGAAGCAACCGCAATTTTTGCCAAAAACGTTGTAAGTGTATGTAGGCAAAATAAACCCAAAGTTCATCTAGAATAATGAACAGTCAAAGAAATTTCCAAATAGGAGAGCAGTGACCGGGGCGTGAGGCCATCAGATGGTAAAACACAGGATTGGCCGGTGATCAGCTAGGCTGGTGCGGCTGCAGGCGCCACCGCACGAGGCCGGGCCGGGCAGGGACAAGGGTGCACGGGGCGTGGGCTCCACACGGGTTGGGGTTGGGCACAGCAAGCCTCAAACACGCAGCTGAAGCCACGGCGCACAACTCACACCCTCCTGCACGAGAGCATTTGCCTTCCCCACTCATAAAAATCATCCATTCCCTATGGAAAATAATCTTAACGTCATCGTTAGTCTTCTGTCCCTCTGGAGAGAAGTGCTGCCGAGTTCTTCTCTGCCCGTTCCCTGTGCTCTACGGTTTGAAAGCAGCATGAATGACAGAATCACGCCCCAGCGCTCCCCAGCCGCCATGGCCAGGCTCTGGCAGGAAACACTGCCCGTGGTCGTGGTCCTAGCTGTGCTGGCAGCCAGCAGCTCACCGCACAGTGTGTCAGCAACATGGCCATGCTGCTGCCCGGGAGCAGTGGGCCCAACTCTGCCGTCGCAGCTGTGCTGGAACAAGCGCTCCACCTCTGCCTCATCTCCAGCCGTGCCCAACCACGGGGGACACACTCTCGGGCACTGCCTGCTCCCCCAGCCCTGGGCGGGCCTCGACCTCGAATCAGCCACTGTGCTTAGCCGTGAGGTCACGTGAGGAAGGCAGGGCTGCAGTGAGGGAGACCAGGACGCAGCTCAGCACTTGGGCTTCCCAGGACTGACACAGCCAGGGCAACAGAGACTGGGCTGGCCTCCGTCAAGGAAGGAGTCACACAGCAGGGCTCTTCCCCAGACTTTCCCCCCGAAAGCAGGAGCAGGAGGAGGGTGGCAAGGCCAGCTCTGAGCCATTCCCCTCGGCTGCCACTCCCCACTCAGCCTGGCCCCAGCTGCCCTCCACTCAGACATCCCCCAGGGCCGACGTGGACCCACCACAGGTGACAGTGTGCACACACTCTCGTTCACACCAGACAGCCACACAGGAGGGCATGTAAATGGCAGCCAGCATCACCGTCTGCTACCGAGCAGGACTCACACTTACTGGTGAGCAAATGAGTCTTAGGATGTTGAGAAGGCAGGCAGGGAAGCTGTCAAGGTACAACACGATTAACCAACTCACAAAGCAGTGACAACACGAGATGGACTCGAAGCCAGGCACCGTGTGTGGCATCCGGAACCAAGCTTGCTGGTGCCACACGGCCTGGGGTCCCATCACCCACACTGCCCACCTTCAAGATTTCTGCCAAGGATTCGGGACCGCTTAGGAAAGTTGGGAAAAATTCTTTTTTTGTGCTCTACATCCAGTGATGGGAAGTCACAGCAGACAGCACTTCAGCTCTCCATAAATACCTGACCAGTGCAAGCAAGCTCAACGAGACCCACTGGGGAAGGCCCCAAAGGCCCCCGAGGCTCTGACACCACAGCCAGACACCCACCCGCGCCGCGCGACTCTCCCACTGGAGACCCTATCTGAGCGTGTCCTGCCACGAGCTGGAATTTCTAAAGGACGCAAAGCACACTCAGTCTTCGCTCTGCTCTGCCGGGGTCTCACACGAGCAGGACAGAAAGTCTTTGCCATTAGACGGACAGACAAAGAGGCACAACCATCCTCGCTTGCACGGAGGAACCCACACAGCATCCACACACCAGCACATTCCAGACCGCCACCAGGAAAGCAAGGCCTCTCTGGATATCCCTCAGCTGCATTCAAGTTCTTCGCGGGAACGGGGCCTTTCCGACCTGTCCGATCGCTGGCGGGCCATCCGCCTCACCGCGGTGCTTACGCTGCTCAGGCACAGGGCAGCTCCGGGCAGCTGATGTGCTGCAGACAGGAACTCCCAGGGCAAGGCAAAGAGGCCCTGCCCAAAACTCGCTATGGTTACGCAGGACGCGAGCATGAAGGAGGCCCAGGAGGGGCTCACCGGGGCCACGGTGTCTTCCCAACTGGGAAGACCCCCACCTCCCTGCCAGTGGCTCTCAGGGTCCACGTCCAGCCGCTTACTCCTCAGGCCTCCCACGCCTCTGCGCACGCTCCTCCCACCTCCCTGCCTCCGCTCCTCCTCCTGCTGCTCCTCTAGCGCTGGCCTGGGGCTACCCAATCTGCGTTCAGCGGATGAGCACCGCAGACCCTCTCCCTCCTGAGGGGCAGCTGCTGACCACGCCCCCCAGAGACGCCAAGCCAGCCCCGGAAAGCAGCGCCTCCTCTTCCGGGGGACCCAGCACGTGACTCCCGGCCCTAAAAGCTCCCCTACACTGGCCTGGGCCGGCTGGTTAGCAACACCCCCTTCACAGGCTCCTTAAAGGGCATTTGGTGACCGAGTGAGTGGAATTTCAGAAATGCTGAAGACTCTAACTCGAGCCAAATTATCACTCAAGAATGAGGACAAACTGAAGTTGCTTTCAGATATGCAAGGGCTGAAAGCTGAACACACACAAACTTTTCTGGGAGAAAAACTTCTCAGAAATATTGCTTAGTGACCAAACATAACAAATCCATGGAGGAAGACAATGTAAGACACAAGATACAGCACTGCAGAGAGGGGCCAGCAGATTGTAAGACACAAGAAACAGCACTGCAGAGAGGGGCCAGCAGAAAATATAGCTCGCCCAAATGAGGACAGGCAACCTAACAGACTGTATCACAAGAAGAACTGTGAAAAGGGGCAAAGCACTAAAAATAGATTCCTAATAGCACAGGCAACAGAAAGAGACAAATGGGACTACATCAAACTTAAACATTGCAGCGCAGGAAAAACCAAGAGAGTAAAAAATGGGAAAAAATAGCTACAATCCAGGATCTGCATATGAAGCTACTATCCCGAATGCACTTTTAAAAACTCCTACAACTCCACAACAAAATGAAATCTTCAATTTTAAAATGGGTGAAGGACTTAAGACACTTCTACAGAGAAGATAAACCAATGGCCAAGCGGTACATGACAAGATGCTCCACACCACCAACCACTTGGCAGACGCAAGTGCAAACGGGAGGCATCACCTTGTGCCTGCTAGGACGGCGATCGCTGAACACGAAAGCTACGCCATGGCAGGAAGCGGAGCAGCGGGACCCGCGTGCAGGGCCAGGGAATGTGCCCAGCGCAGTGTGGAGAGCAGCCAGGCAATTCCTCAGAACGTTAGGCACTAGGCTCCTGAGTCCCCAGCAGGCCACGAGAACTGAAGGCAGGGTCCCAGGAGGTATCTGCACAGCTGTGTTCATGGCAGCCACGAGGCAGAAGCAACCCAAATGTCCATCACCAGGGGAATGAAGGAAGAAAACGTGGCAGTCACACGCCACATAATGACATTTTGGTCAACAACAGACCGTACAGGTGATGGTAGTCGCATTAAGATTAGGACACTGCATTCTCACTGCACCTTTTCTGTGTTTCCACATGTATGATGCAAACCACCGCCGTGGAACAGCCGCCTGTGGTATTCAGCACAGTGACACGCTGAACAGGTTTGCAGCCCAGGAGGGTTGTACCACGTGTACACACAGGCTGTACCACGGTGCGAGCATGCAGCAGCCACACCGTCTGGGCTCCTGTGAATTAGTTCGTTCTGCGATGTTCGCACGGTGAAGTCGCCTAATGATGCACTTCTCAGAGCTTTTCCATGTAAGTGGCACATGACTGTATCTGCACATGTAACAGTTCATTTCAGGCATCAACTTGATTGGATTAGGGATACCTGGAGAACCCATGAAGCATTACTTCTGGGTGTGCCGGTGCGGGTTTTCCAGAGGAGATTGGTGGATGAGTGGGAAGATGCCCTCCAGGTGAGTGGCACCACCCAGCCCGCTGGGGCCCAGAGACAGAACGAGAAAGGAAGAGGATAAGCAATTTCCTCTCCCTCCTGGAGCTGGGACCCTGCCCTTTGGCATCAGAACTCCAGGGTCTCTGGCCTTTGGACATTGGGACTTGCACCAGCATCCCCCAGGGTTCTCAGGCCTTTGGCTCTGGACTGAGCCATGCACCAGCTTCCCAGGGTCTCCAGGGTGCAACTCTGCTGGGGGACTCAGCCTCTGTAATCACATGAGCTGATTCCCCAACAAATCCCCTCATCTATCAATATCCAGTATGAGTTCTGTCTCCCTGGGGAAAACTAACACAACACACAGTGGAATAGTATTCAGCCTTTTAAAAGAAGGCAGTCCTCTCACACGCTGTAACATGGATGAATCTTGAGGACCTTCTGCTGAGTGAAAAAAGTCAATCATGAAAAGACAAATCTGCATGACTCTGCTTGTGTGAGGTATCTCACACAGTCCGACTCTTAGACACAGAAAGCAGAATGGTGGATGCCAGGGGCTGGGGTGGGGAGGAGGCAGTTTTGTTCAATGGCTATGGAGTTTCCAGTTTGCAAGATGAGAGGGTCCTAGTGATACAGATGGTATGACGGTACTGTGTGCTTATGGTACAGTGTCTGTGCTATAAATGGATAAAGTGGTTGCTGTATAAAACGGTTGATGGCAAATTTTATATATATGTAACATTAATAATGTCTTAAATTTTAAAATGTTAAAAAAATTCTAATGAATTTTGATAAATGGCACCTGATTGCAAGACTTCTTATAAAGCTAGAGTGATCAAGCCACTACAGCACTGGTCTAGGAATGGATACAGTGGTCAATGCAGGTGGGGAACCCAGAAAAGGACCCACAGGCAGGGCCCATTTACATCCAGCCAAGGGGCCAAGGCTACTGAGGGGAAGGACAGTCTCTGCAACAGCCAGGACAAGGAAGGGATGGCCCTCAACCCAAACCTCACATCCCCATGACAAGTGCTTCCGTATAGATCACGGACCTAAACATAAAAGCTCAAACTGTGAAACTCCTTAGAAGGAAACATGGGAGAAAATCTTCGCATCCTTGAGACAAGCAACGGCTTCTTAGGAGGATATAAAATGCACCAACTGTAAAAGAAAAATCCATCCTCTGAACCTTATCAAAACTAAAACTTCTCCTCTTCAGAAAACAATGTAGAAAATAAGAACATGAGCCATAGACTGGGAGAAGGCCTTCAGAGCACACCTGACAAAGAGCTTCCATCTGGAATACGGCCAACTCCTGCAGCCTCAGTATTAGGACAAGCAACCCCCAGACCCGTTTGTGTGTTTTTTTTTTTTGAGACAGAGTCTCACTCCATCACCCAGGCTGGAGTGCAATGACGCAATCTCGGCTCACTGCAACCTCTGCCTCCCGGGTTCAAGCGATTGTCCTGCCTCAGCCTCCCGAGTAGCTAGGACTACAGGCACCCGCCACCTCACCCAGTTAGCAGTCTCATTTTTTTAATGGGGAAAAGGTTTGAACAGGAACATCACAAAAAAGTTCTATGAAGGGCAGGTAATCTCTAGGAAGACATGCAACATCATGAGCTGTCCGGGAAATGCAAATTAGACCACGGCGGAAGGCATGATGATGAATTTTACGGGTCCATTTGACGCTGCCAGGTTCCCCAACAAATATTTGGCCAAGTATTATTCTGGGTGTGTCTGTGAGAGCATTCTAGGATGGGATTAATGTGTCAATGGGTAGACTGAGGAAAGCCCACAGCCTTCCCATTGGGGAGGGGCCTGCCCAATCTGCTGAGGACCTGAAGGGAAGGGCAAGGCTGGGTAAGAAGGAACTCCTCCTGTGGGCGGGGCATGGTCTTTTCTGGCCTTTGCACTTGGACTAAAACCCTGGCTCTTCCTGAATCTCCCGCCCGCCTGACAGCTTCCGGGTTAAAACTGTTACCGTCGGCCTTCTTGGTCCTCAGGCCTTGAGACTCAGACTGGAACTACATTTCAGCTCTCCAGGGTCTCCAGCTTGGGACTTAGCCTCGATAACTGCACCAGCCAATTCTTTGTGATACATCTCCTTACGTGCACGCATGTGCACACACACGCACCCCCCCCCCCCCCCCCCCCCCCCCCGCCCCCGCACCCACACGCACGCACCACACACATGCGCACACACCCACATGCACGCACCCACGC